GGGCGTATTGGAGTCGTATGAATGGTTGCCGCGTCTTGAACGATTAGAGGATCAGGAGCGGACCAACAACATATCTATCAACCTCATGTTAACATCCCTACTGTTTGCTCTCCCTCGTCGCGTCGAGTTATACAGTTTAGTGGATATCACGAACAATTGAGCCATCACCATAGTAGTAGATTCACACCCTCCGCAGCCTCTACCACATCCAAGCTGGATGATCTAACACGGATTGGACAGTAGTATCCTACCCCACCAACTCCGGCACTGCAGAAGCAGCGCCGTCATTTACCTCGCAACTCGTCTCTGAATGTTCGAGGTCCCCACTAAACGGTATAACTCGACACTACGAGAAATGAAAAACGATAAAAGCCTACTCCATGAGGGTCATGCGTGAGTCGTTACAACTAGAGGAACCCCCTCACCTGGCGTCAACAAGAAGAAAGGGAAACAGAACGAGCAAGAAGCTGAAAGAAGAGACTGGAATGACTATCCGATGGACGATGGAGAAGATGACCACGGAAGTCTCTCCGAGGAGGTAGGCAGTGAGGGGGAAGGCTCGGATTTGAGTCTGCGAGAGATCGACACTCTAGAGGACAGTGAATACTCGCCGCTACTGGAGCTCTCGGAGGAATTGGAAAATACAATCAGTGATTGTATCAATAATAAGAGGTATCTCTCGAATGGCGTGAGTGCGAAGCTGAGAGAGACAATGGGTCGCATCAAAAATCAGTATATGAAGCTCCTTGAAGAGAATCGGCTATTGCGTATAAAACTGGAGAAAGTAGCTCAGCAGAGCACAGATGGGAGATCCCCTATGACGTATAAGGATGCCCTCTACGCTAATCAGGGTCATCTAGGCCTTGGAACTGTGAAAGCTGGGAGAGTCCTCAAGCCTCCGAAGCAGAACCAAATCAAAACTTTGGTTATCAAACCGAATGACCTCCCACACGAAGAAGAACGCAGGAAGGAGTCACTCGCGCAGCTCAAGGACAGCATCGACAGAAAGCTATGTAATTTCAGGATAGACAGGATTGTCAGACGCAGGGACGATATCATTGTGAGAGCTCCCCTGAATCAAGTGGACATGACGACAGTTCTCGGGGAGTTGGGCAGTATCGACGGCATACAGGCGAGACCACAAAGTAGACTATCTCCCGAGGTTCTGATATACAAGGATGAATTTGTTGGAGAGAAAGAAGATTTAAAGGCCCAGGCAAAAAGCTTACAGAGGGAGTTAAATGTAGACGAATGGGTCTTCATGAGGACCACTAAGAAGTTCTTCATCATCAGGGTGCCCGCGGGCGATAGATCCTGTATGATAAGAGATGGGCTGTATGTGAGGAACATGAAACTGAAAGTGAAAGACCATTTAAGCCTCAATGTT